CCTCCAACTACTTGCCTGGGGCTATCCAGCCCTATTGTTTGGTGGGGCTATCCAGCCCAACTGCTTCCAACTAATTACATGGGGCTATCCAGCCCTGTTGTTTAGTGGGTCTATCCAGTCCAGCTTTTTTTTACCTTTTTCAAAAAATCTGGTCTGGGCTGTCCAGCCCTGGCTAGATCCTTTAGATCAGCCCAGCCTTCTCCAAGGCTGCCAAAAAGCCTTTCGAAGCAGCAGTGCCCCTATGGGAACTGCACTCTGGCCTCATGCAGCCAAGCACATCAGTAGCCCTCAAAGCACTCCTCTGGTTGACATAGGAGTAGAGCCCACAAGATCTGCACCAGCCCAGGCCATTCTTCTCTTCAAAGAAGTCACTCCTGGGTTGCAAGTTGGATTGTGGGGCTGTCCAGCCCAAGTGAGGTGGGGCTATCCAGCCCAACTGCCCCTATCTAGTTACATGGGGCTGTCCAGCCCAAGTGCCCCTATCTGATTACCCACTAAATGCCCCTATCAAGCAACATTGTTAAAGCAAGTTTCTGTTCCAAGTCCTCCAGGGTGACTTTGTGCTTCTTTGTCCTCTGGTCACCTTCCTCCTCCTCCTCTTTCTGCCAGCCCCACTCTCCCCAGTCTCCCTCCCACTGGCTTTGGCTGAAGTCATCCCCCCATGCATCACTGGCAGATGCCATGCCACCATCTCCCCAGCCAGCCCATGCACCACTTGCAGGTGCCATGCCACCCTTTCCTTCCCACTCCCAGCCAGCCCATGGATCACTTGCAGATGCCCTGCCACCCTTTCCTCCCTCTGCTGGTGCTGCTTCTTCCTTGCCACCACCCTTCCCTGCACCCTTTGCATCTGCTTGCCCCTTCCCTGTGGGATCCTCTGGGCCACCCCCCTTTCCTGTCTCTTCCTCCTCTGCTTGTGCTGGCTCTGCTGGCTTGCCTCCCTTTTCTCCTCCTGTTGCTTCTGCTGGCTTGCCACCTCCCTTCTCTCCCCCTGTTGCCTCTGCTGG